TATTATATTCTATTAATTAAATATATTATATTATTAGAGATTAGTTTCAATGAGATTTTAAAATATTATAATTGATTTATTTTTAAGATGTTATTTTTTTGATCATTTTACATTATTATCAACTAATTTTGTTAAACATGATTTGTTTATTAGGTAGCTTATCAGTCATGAGCTAGCTTATAAGCTAGTTTGCCAAATATAACCCAAATCAATGAAAAATTGCAAGTGAAAGGACTTAAGAGAATCTCCAACATATATTCCCCAAATTTTCTTTAAAATGGAAAATTAAAAGTCAAAATCTAAAAAAAAAAATGTATTCATCTACAAGAGATTCCCTATTTTGAAGTATCCAACATTAATATAATATTAAAATATCATTTTTTTTTCATCTAAATATTTATTTTCAAAGAATGATATTGATGGTCTCATTTGGTAATAATTTTTCGGATAGAAATCATTCTCTCAAGTCGCACCTACTTTATCCATATTACAGATAGTTTTGAGGAAGCTGTTGGAACAAAATAGTAACAAAAAATCCTTATTTCCTCAACTTTCGCTCTAACTAGTCTTTGGGTCCAGGCCCTCCGCCGGCTACTGTTAGGACGAGGGATCAAATCCAAAAGATTCTAACCATAAGAAATTAAGAACCAACTAATGTCATAAACTAATCATAACAAACGACATCTGCAATTTCTTATAAACCACGAGGACCAAAAAGGTAGTTTACTCGGTAACAAATAAGCAAAGATTCGCATAAAAACGTAATTTGATTCCATTTGTCAAGTGCAAGATGTGTTAACTGTTTAAACAAAGTCATTATCCACGTGTACAATCATCGGACGTCCGATTGAATTCTTTTTCAATCCAACGGTTCCGTAAACCGACTGTTTTCTTTTTGTCTGAAAAAGGGTCAAGAGGTCATGCTTTTCCGTCCACTGACTCCACTCTAAACCTCATTTCATTTCTCTGTCCTCACATTTCTTTTTTCTTCTTCCAGAAATCGATTCTCGCTGTCAATCTGTAAGTTTTTTTCCCTCTGCTCCTTCCTATTCTATGGTGATCTTTGATTGTTACTATTATAGATAAACAAAGTGAAAATATCAAGGAGAAGAACAGATAAACGGTTTCAGTGTGCTTTTGCTGGTAATATGTGGGATAGTAAATGGGTTTTTGGTTTGAGTGTGTTTTGCTGTGATCGATTTGTGTTTCAAGTCGATGAATGTGAGATTGACTATTAGGTCGTTGTTTTGTTAGTATGTAAGTTTATTGATTGTCGATTGTTTTTTGGATTAATTTCCAGATGTTGGAATGCATGAAACTGCTGCTGTGTTCATTGAAGAACTTGTTTTATTAGGGTTTTCTATTCTAATTCTCTGTTACATCTTCTCAAATCTCAAGTTTAGTTGATCTATGTTTCTGACGTTCAAGCTTATTCGATTGGTGTTATAAGAAGTGTGTGTGTGTGTGTGCGCGTTTTTTGGATTATTTTTCTTCGAAAAACAAAGCATATATTTTATGAGTGTTCACAGATTACTCCTTTGATTTCTCCGATTTACTTAATTCATGGCAGATGCACATGCACTTACTTTTTCAATGCGATTCTGGCAATTTTCATCTTTAATGCTCCCTCTGATCCCGAGAAAAGTGGTTACTTGTAATTTTGGAAAATGAAAATTCAAATGTTGAAACTTCCCTGATTCAAAATTGACATGGAATTTTTTTGAATCTGTTGATTAGAAATGTTTTTGCTTACGTTGTTATAGTTAAATGTAATATGATCAATTTTAATCTGCAATCAGAAAGATTCTTATTGATTTATGCAATTAAACAAAAGGAATCAATTTATAGAACCAAATAATCATTGCTTCATTGAAAAATAAGAAACTCGTTTTTCCATTTCGGGAGTAACTTTTGATTTATATTCCTCTTAATTGGTTGCCATCTAACTTGCCTTCATTTTTATGTGTAAAAAAGGATGTGATTTAACACACATTCTCTTCTCATAATTACACTATCTTTAAAAAAATAAAAAATAAAAGGTGGTGAGTTTGATAGCAACGTTGGTGGTGACAATATATTTTCCCATTATCTTTCTGAATAAACTGGTTGGTGAGTTTGATGGTAACCTATATTTACGTACTCCTTTGTGTTCTTGTGTTAACGAATCAAGTGGGGTATTGTTTGTTTGGCAATTTTCAATAAACTCTTTCTAGGGTACAATTAATGTCATGCACTTGCTTTTTGTACTATTTTCAGCCAGAAACTTGTCCTTGATTTTGCTATCAAGATCCAAAATTAATATGAAAGCTATTATAATCTTTAAGACCAATTTTTCTTTTTTCTGTAATTCTGTGATACCTTTTATATGGTTTACTGTATTATTATTTCTTATTTTTTTCAGATTAATATTCAAAGTTTTTAAGTCAAATTAGTCCATTTGACTTTTACAGTCAATTGTGGAGTCCTCACGTTATCCCATATAAAACACTTGCAGGTGGGGGTAATTTAGATCATATGATCTACATCCTGCATCCATGAGTCTCATACATCTATAGAAAACTGGGAGCTAGATAGCCTCATAAGTGGTTATTCTGATGTATCACAAAAGGAAATAGTGTATGCAAATTTTTACAGTTTCACTGTTAAGTTTGTAACTGGAGTAAAAATCATAGACTGTCTTGTTAGAAGTCTATATCTTGGCAAATGGAAATTTGGAAAAATATTATTTAGGGGAAAAGATCATATTCTTGTAGGATCCTGATTATATCTTATGAACAAGATTAGCTAGTCGAACATTTGGTCAAACAAAAACTTGAATAATATATTGTTGAACTCTTGACTCCTATGCTTACATGGTATTAGAATGCATTCCATAACTGATTTATATTTCATTCAGCTTAAGGTTCAGTTATCTTTGCTCTAATACTCTGCAACTGTTTCATACTAAGTGACACATAGGGGGCGATCTTTAACATAAGTGCTAGTTTCACTATCAGTCGAATCCAATTATTATTTTATCAACATATGTGGTCTAAGGGCCAGTCCTCTTATCTTCATATTGTTTTGAGATGGAAGCCCAAAGGATTCTTTACAATATACTTTTATACACTTGCCAACTCAACATCGTGATCAAGCGATGCTCAAAACTCCTATAATCTATTGATCTTCTGTTAATGTTGTGGAGACAGTTGCTTATTAAGTGAACTTACTTCTAAACTGATATCATCGTGATGATAAGGTTTATCAATTTTCTTGTGTGCTTGCATTTTTCATCATACACAATTACACATTGAAGGTAAACATGGCTAACCACGAGGGTCAAGGAAGTGAGAAAAATTCTGGAAATTCTCGTGTCAGCCTCAATGAAAGGATTCTCAACTCAATGTCACGAAGATCTGTTGCTGCTCATCCCTGGCATGACTTGGAGATCGGTAAAGCTTCTATCTTTCCTACATATCACCTGTCTTCTGGTAATGTATCATTAATATTATCAACGGTCTTGCTTGGGGTGAATGATTATGACTTTATGCATCTGATGTGCATATTACATTACCATCTTAATATTTCTACTCAAAGGAGCCCATTAAGCTTTAACCACATATGTTCACAAGGGTCCATTTTGTGTTTAGAAAAATAGTTCCAAATGATCACGACTCGTTCCTAAAGGCTCTTTTTATGGTGATATATGCAGGGCCCGGTGCACCTGCAGTTTTCAACTGTGTATGTTTTTTCTTTTTACATCTCTGCCAATTGGTGTTATTTTGGGTCATGAAAATCAAGAATTGTCCACTCAAGTGATACAAGTCTGTGTCAGGTGGTTGAAATTGGAAAAGGCAGCAAAGTTAAGTATGAACTTGACAAAGCAAGTGGTCTGATCAAGGTAAAGCTCTTGTTACTCACTTTTTATCAAGTTACCTTCTGATGGTAACATGGAAAAATCGTCAACAGAATTAAGGATAGAGAATTTTTAACTGATTTTCAAGAAACAGAAAGTGCATGTTTTACTGGCGGCATGATAATTATTCATGATTTATACATATCAGTATGGCTACTGACATGAATGGATTGGCAATGAATAAATTAATCATAATCTTTTGGAATGTAATTTACCTTTAGTGTGAAATTGTTCTGCAAAATGTTGAGGAGGTTGAGCATCAATCAAGTGTATCAGTTACCATTGCTAATCTTTGACAGCGTCAACATTGATATATCGTCCACTTGCAAGATACAATCATAGCTCAAAACTAACACTTCCTCTGTCCCATACAAATTGCAAAAATTCTCAATTGGGGATGTCGTTTGGAAATTGCAATGTGTTTCTTTATTTGACAACCTTTTAAGATGAAGATCTATTTGCCTGTCGTCATCTTCACTGACACAGGTCGTTTTGGGTCCAGAAGGATCACTCATTTTTTTCATTCTTAGAGGGTATTTTAGACAATTGATCAGTAGTGGAATACTTCAGACTAATGCAAGTCAATCTTATTTATCTCCTTTATACAATCTATATCTGTGACACATTATTGACTGATGAAATTTCCATCAATAGGTCGATCGTATTCTGTACTCATCAGTTGTTTACCCACACAACTACGGATTTATCCCAAGAACCATATGTGAAGACAGTGATCCCATGGACGTGTTGGTATTGATGCAGGTGCTCCTGCTCCCCAAATAAAATAAAATAAAATAAGTTGTTTGCTTAAACAGCTTCACTTGATATTGTTATTTGTCCATTTTTGATTGCCCTGTACAGGAACCTGTACTGCCTGGCACTTTCCTTCGTGCTCGTGCTATTGGACTAATGCCTATGATTGACCAGGTAAATACCCTTTTATAATGGAATCAAGACTCTTCCTGTTTCAACTCTGATGTTCTTAACTATTGGTATTTCAACAAGAGTTCGTAAAGCATATTGAGATAAGGCAAAGTGGTTTAGGTCTCTTTCATCTACATCATTTTCTTCTATTTCCTATTCTGTTCCAATAGATATGACCGACAATCGTGTTTATTCCTTGCACCATGTAAATGGATCCCAGAAAATGAAAACATATAAAGTTTTTCTTCATTTTTTCTTTTAACCCTTTACTACAGAAGACCACATTTCAATCACCATTTTCACATTTAGATCGCAACATGGAAAAACATTTCGATGATGAAATATTCATCTCAAATGTTCAAATGGAATTTGTTGTGTGTTACAGGGGGAATCAGATGACAAAATCATAGCAGTATGTGCTGATGACCCAGAATTTCGGCACTACACAGACATCAAAGAACTTCCTCCTCATCGTCTTGCTGAGATTCGCCGTTTCTTTGAGGATTGTATCCACACATACATTTTTTTCTTGCTATAAATAGATCTCTGGTTTAATTTTCATATGGTTATAGCCTCTTAACTGAAAGCATGCAGACAAGAAGAATGAGAACAAGTCAGTGAAAGTGAATGACTTCCTCCCTGGTGCTGATGCAGTGGAAGCTATCAAATATTCCATGTGGGTAATCAAAATCTTGCGTTTATTTTAATGATCATTTTAACACGATCTTATGTTGGTTTTATACGTGATGGCAGGGACCTGTACGCGTCCTACATCGTTGAAAGCTTGAGGCAATGATTCGGTTATGGGGTATGGTTTGTTGGTGTGGAAACTAGTTGTGATTGTAGTAGGACTTGAGAGGGGGTGCCAAGAGACTTGTAATGGTATGAAGAATGGTTTTTAAAAAATAAATCACCAAACCAGAAACTAATCGGGTCTCTCAGAATGGGGGAAAACCATGTGATTGTGTTTGGCAAATCTGAATAACTTTTCTTTTTCCTTGGTTAGAGCTTAATATCACCCAAGGATTATTGAGGGATAATTTTTATTCTCTTGTTAGCAAAGAAAATATATATAATAATATTGTTGGATATGCTTGTCCCAAAAATAATTATTATGGTTCGGTGAATGGACAACGATTTTTGGGCAAATGCTAATTTTGTTTTCTGAAAATATAAAATGAAAAAGTTTAGGTGTTGGTTTGTTTTTTTATAAAGAAACTTTTATTAGTTTCTTATGTCTGATTTTTTAAGAGATAAGGTTATTCAGACTGTTTTTTTTTTCCAGAGGAACTTATGTTTTATTGTTCTTTTATCTGGTAAGAGGTAAACCAACCATATATTTGCCTTTTATTATTCTTCAAACCCTCAACAACGACATTTCTCAATTGATTAACGTTAATCGGTGATTTCTCTTAATCAATCCTTACGTATCTCAATTAATGTATCTTAATAGGATTTAAATATGTTAAATACATTAATGACATATTTTCATTTAAATGAATGTTAATTATATAATTTAGATGTAAAATTTCGTAATAATGATGAATAAACATGTATAAATCTTATTTATAAATTCAACAATATAATTTTTTAACAGGTAAAATAGACAATTTAAATAAATTCAGATTTCAAGCGTCAAACACCACCTCTTATAAATCAAAAGTGAAATAAAACTTCAGATTCTAGCACATCTTAAAAAACAAACGTCATCTTATTATTGAATATTTTAGAAAAAAATTAAACATTGCTTGTGTTATTAACTTAAAAAAAGAAAGTTACAATATTGTAAGAAGTAGCTAAATAAAATTTAATTAATTTATTATCGTAAACAACCAAAGCAATAAAATCCATAAAATAAAAATATTCGAATCACTAAAATTAGCATATTATGTTATTCATAATAATGTCACTTTATTAGTTTGCATTCTGATGAGGGGATACAAGTTGATATCGAGGGCAATGAGTACCTCGATTGACTTCGTTTTGTTGAGATTTCGTCCTTGTTTGTTTTCTAAATGAAAATCTCTCAACAACCTTTTATACAGTTATACTTATTCGATAAGAGGTTAGTGAATTAAGAGTGCTTGTTTTTTCCCTTTTTTTTCAGACCCACTTGTCACTTATCAATCTCTTATCTATAAGATGTAAACCAACCCCTTGTTTACCCCTTATTGTTCCAGATATCGCAAGCCTCTATCAAATAGGATCCTCACCTCTCAGGTCTCAATCGATTAATCTTAATCGAGTCTCTTTTAGTTTCCTTCGAGTGGATTTTGCTTTCAAGACTTTCAACTTCATGATTCATAAGGAAAGAGAGGTTGATCATGACATAAGACCTTGTATAAAGACATGGTAGATGAAGTTGGTATTGTCACACCATGACAAGAAAGTCTTTCTAAAACTAATTGACAAATTCTGTAGAGAATTTATTAGACCAATTATGTTGTTAAGTCAAGATGTCGAGAAACCAAAAAGGCACATGAGATAGAAGCTAGAAGTTGCAGAAATGAGGATGCTTGGATGACTAGGAGAAGTCGGGAGTCACCCCTATCACTAATAAATTGAGAGAAGAAAGATTATCGGCGGTTTGGATTCGTTTGCAAGAGAAAAATGGCGGCTCCCATGAAGAGGGTATAAAGTGTGATAGTAGAGTGGGTGAAGAAGAGGTGCATGGTGTAGAGGATGTGAAATGAGCAGTTAGAGATGAACATAACAACTTTAGACATTTTTGAGAACATGATATCTGATAAGAAATCATGGAGACACATGAGCAGAATAATAGGCTAAGGTGCATGGACTTGTAGATAGCTTTAGACGAAAGGGAGGGAGTTGGAGAGGTTGGTGTAAGACTTTAGGAGGGGTTTAAAGTTGCCGGACCGACTACCAACGCTTTACGTTGGATTGAGGAATTGTGTAGTATCTTGTCGGTTTTCTATGCAACAATTTGTGTATATTACGTATTTTATTTAGTTTTACTTCTATTAAAATAATGGCCAATCTTTTTTGTAAACCCTTTGCAAACTTTTGAATTTTGTCCGTCCAAAGCTTGTTCGCACACACATTTTTATAGGTCAAGAAGGGTATTTACGAAAATAATATGAAACTCCTTTTAGCTCATCTTTCATTTTCTTTTAGATCATTTCATTTTTCTATATAAAAATAACTGAAGCCTACCAAACTAAAAGGAAATATGATGAACGGTCACAATCACAACTTACAAATGACACATCTTGAAGCATGTCTCATTTGGTTTGCAAGATAAGGATTTTCAGGATTTGAAATCACCTGATTTCATTTAAATCTTGTGTTTGAACTCACATAAAATATAGGATTTTGAAATCCTAAGGAGATGATTGGTATTTCATAATATTTCGTAAGATTTGTATATAATAATGTTTTAAATATGTCAAAAACATTTGTTTTGTAATAATCAATTAATAAAAAAATAATTTTTTTATTTTTATAAATTTTTTATTAATTATTTAAAAAGTTAGAATTTAATTTTATTCCAAATCAAACACACAAAAATTCCAAATTAATTCCAAATCATTCCACAAAATATTAAATCCCTCAAAATTAAACCAGAATAAAATAAAATTCAAATCCATTAAAATCACTGCATCGAACCAAAATCACAGCCAATTTCCCGAGTTCACCCAGTCGTAAGTCGTAACTCAGTCAAACTCGGTTTCATCTCCCTTGTCCATTCCCCAACTTTGCTTCTCGGCACACTCTCTCCATAGCTTAGAAAAAACCCCTCGATTGGGGCTAGCAAAACAAAGACCCATTTCATACTACAGCTTTCTTCTTTCGTCAGTTAATGGGTACATTAGGAAGAGCAATTTACGTCGTCGGATCCTGGATCCGTGGAACCGGCCAAGCCGTTGATCGTCTCGGCTGCAGCCTCCAAGGCAGTCACCTCTTCAAAGAACAACGTAACTTCTCTTCAGCTTCTGTGTCGTTTTAATCTTTAGCTGAAAATCGTTTTAAGAAGGTGTTGCCTTCAAATTTATTCGAATATGTTTGTCGTACCGCAAAAAAAAAAGTAATTCAAGGCTGAAATTGGAGTGATATGATGTGTATTTATGGTTCCATTTAGATTATTGCTTCTTCCTGTAATCTGGTTATCAGTTAACTCATCTGGGTATATGTGATACCAGTGGAATTTGACGTTGATGAACATTTGGGGGACTGAGATGTCGACGAAGTTCCAAATTTTTGTGATGTAGTTCTACATTTTGATTTTTTTAGTTTGCATCATATGATGTTAACAAAACAGAACAATTAAAAGGCAATTACAGAATGTGGTCAAGTGGGAGCAATAGCAGATTGGGATGTGATGCAATTGATAATAAAGTAAACCGAGTTTGATGCATTTCAACCGGTGGGAATAAATGGGGTCTGTTTGAGGTTTCTTATTGGCTATTTGTTCATGTTGAGGATTAGAATTGGTTCAACTGAAAGTAGTGTAGGGCATGCATTCTTGATGATTTTCATTGGAATCCTTGTGAATCGAATCAAGTTTTGTTCAGTATATATGTTGTTTGCTTTTGGATTATCCACCCTATAATTTCTTCTGTAAGTTATTGACTTTACCTTTTTTGTGTAAACTAACCGTAGTTTATGCGAAAATCCAAAAATAGAATACTACAGTTAGCGATATTGGAGAGTATGTGTCGAGTACAATGTTTTTCATATGCTGTCCAAAATTATTCGTTCTTGCAAAGTGTTTTTCTTTTGGGGGTTTTCACAAGATTATTAATTAGCTTGCTTTGGAAGGCCAAGAATGATGGCAAAGAATGATGATTGGTTTGCAATTGAAGGCCAAGAATGATCGTTCAAAAAGTCACTGTAATTTTCTCTGATTTAGTTTTAGCGTACTTGCAACCCAACTACTTTGGGGATAAAGAATTGTTGACTTTCTTTTCTTGTTGGATGCAAAGTAGTTGTTGTTTGCAAAATAAAAACAAAAAAACGATCATTGAGTTTCATGTTTCCAAATGGTCTATCATCTATGTTCTGAAGTAATTTGAAAGCTACACCTAAATAGTGTGACTTTTAAGTTAACCTAATGTTAGCTCCAATGACTATTGGAGACATTTAGATACTGTTGTAGGTGAGTTTCTTCTAATCTGGATCTTGTTTTCGAGTTTATCACTTACCAGTTACCACTTTCTTAAGTGACTTGATGACCAGTCCAGTTTTCAAGCTAGTAAGATCATCATAACCTATAGAGCCTATGTACGGGTTTCCTTGCAAGATCAGTAAAGTGACCCAAAATGCAACGAGTACTAGGGGGAATTGACCCTTTTGACCTGCCTATGGTCTAGAAATTAGCAAGGATCTAAAGGGAAGAGGGAGAGGTTATGGGTATCGGAACATAATAACTGCTGTTAAGAGAGACAAATATTCCATTATTCCTGCTACTTATAGGCTGTGACCCATCTGCCATTTACTCGAAGGTTCTCTGTTATGATTCACTCAGTTTGACGTAGAACTAAGGTTCAATTCCTTTGTCTTCTTGGTGTCCCAAGGTTATAGTTTTTGTCTTGTGTTAAATCGTTTCGTGACAATTTTTGTCTTTCTGAGAAACATTCTATATCTCTAGTATAATTTTCTGTTGGGTTAGTAAACTAAGTAAAACTCTTTCTGATTTCTTTGTTCTGATAGTGTCCAGGCATCAAACTCTGCTGAATTTATATGATAAAGATCCAGTGGTTGACAAAGACGCATTTGTGGCCCCTGGTGCATCTATCATTGGTGATGTTCAAGTCGGACGTGGTTCCTCTATTTGGTATGGATGTGTTCTTCGAGGTAACACTTGTAACTATGATTTGTATCAGCTATTGGAAATTTGAACTTTTTTGTTTTTCTTTTCCTCCCATGTGGATGCTTTTAGTTTTGCATTTTATCATCTTACGTAACATATGAAGTATGAATATAAAAAATGAGAAATTCAATGGCCTAGACGAATGGACCTTTAGATTTTTAATTGCTAGTTCTCAACTTAGATTACCACTGTCATTGAACTTTTAGAACCATTGATATCTAGTTTGAGTTAAGGCTATCGTTTAAGTCAACATCGCCCCGTAATCCCTCAAAAGAAAAGAATGATGTAAATCCATTAAAGAAATCTTGATGATCTCAACAAGGAATTAAGAGAATACTCATATGTTCTACATCGGCTAACTTTTTCGGCCCAACTCTTATCTGGTTGAAGCTACTTATACGGCACTTAATTCATATAATGCATGTATGAAGATGCTGCTCCGATAGGGCTTGCTTGCATGAAGAATAATCCAGTTGAGCTCTTCATGAATTGAAGGTTTGACTCACATACTTCTAACGACGTGTTTGACTACTGGTTAAATATCTAATAATAGTATAATACCCCTCTATAATAGCGATCTTAAAAGTGTAGTAACCAAATTAGAGATGAAGTGAAAGTGTGTTGCTATTTATTGCAATTTTTCCAATTAAAAACCTGAAGTTATAAGGGCATATTAGAAGATAACCATGGATCGCAAAAACAAACCAAACGTACCGGATATATCTCACCTAGAAGTTCGGTCAGGGGAGGATGTATGCAGACCTTACCTTTACCGCTAGGGGTAGAGAGTTTGTTAGCATGAAGACACGTGGTTGTGAAAGTTTTATTGTATTAATTAAGATAGAAAATGAAATCTTAAAAAAAAATCTGAATAGTTTAGATTTTAGAAGTTTCAAAAAGTAGATTGCGAGGAGCTTGAGTCAGTGGAAATCTTTGAGTAGCATAATTAAGCACGCAAAAGCAACAAAAGAGATAGTGCAAAAGGTAAAAGAACACAGGATAGAAATAGCAACAGTAAATAGCTTTGTTGTGTTGTCTTCAGCAGTTACTAGTTTTCAGGTTGTTGATGAGAATATTTTTTATTTTCTAGACTTGGATTTAAGAGTCGGTGGTGGATTCCTAATATCGTTGACAGCGATGACAGAATCACTTAAAAGTAATGAAAACCCATCGTTTTAGCAATTCTTGTGCTTGTAAGACTATTGGAGCTAAGTAACACCATAATACTCCGAGAAGTAAAAAATGGCTGAATCATTATGCTATGAAGGCCACCCCTCATGCACAAGTTACACTAGAAGAATCTGGTAATATTAAGTTTAAAACCATCCAATAACTCAAAGAGCCTTTAGCAATGTTGGACTATTAAAGAATTTTGAAGTTTTCAGAAGTTCTGAATTGAAGTCAGACTTATGGACCAAACTGTTTATATATTATTATCATCATAACAACTCTTTCGAGAAAACGAATTATGTAAGTTGATGAACTAAAGAATATAGAAGATAGTCGATATTTGAAGCATATCAATTTGAGAGGTAGTTTTCAAATCTTTAATCAAGTTGAAAATCTCCTCCTTTCTTTATTCACATGTGAATCCGTTAGTTCAAGTTCATTTCTTTATTCTTGCCGGGTGATTAATTAGTGAAGCCTGTTGAAATCCAAATATTGTGGTGTCTTATGAAAGTATCCTTTCAATATTTTGATGAACATACCCTTTCAATAATTTGATGAAAAATTATCCTTTTTTATGTTGATTGATCATGAACAAAGTGATGTAGTTCCTGTATGTGTCTTCATACCAACGTATGGTTGTAAGTACTGTTTGTGTTGGAGTCCCACATTGGGTAGAATTATGACAATTTCTCCTCGACATATGCTGGAACCTCATTCTTCCTCAAAGGGCTCTTTTGGAGAGTAATCTAACGGGGTTCCACATCTTTTCACATGGTATCAGAGCCAAAGTCTGCCATCTCGACACAAGGACAATTTATGCCTGTCTCCCTTCCATTGGGAGTGTGTTGGAGTTCGGTATCAGCTAGATGTGGACCATTTCTCCTTATATATATATAGTTCGATAGCAGCTAGACGTGGACCATTTTTCGTCATATATATATATATGTGTGTGTGTGTGTATGTTGGAACCTCCCTTATCTTCTCAATGGCTCTTTTGGAGAGTAGTCTAGCGGGGTTCCACGTAAACTTTCATCATGTCAGCCCTTTTCCCCTAAACTAATTCTCCTATTAAAACTGAAAGTCTTGTATGCAGGTGATGTGAACAGTATCAGTGTTGGATCGGGAACAAACATACAAGACAATGCTCTTGTGCACGTAGCCAAATCCAATGTTAGTGGGAATGTATTTCCGACAACAATAGGCAACAATGTTACTGTTGGTCAGTACCCTTAATCTGCAAAATTACTATATCGACCTTAAGCATCCATTAGTTTGCATTTTTAGAGCCATAGTTTTCCTTCCTTGTCAAAACCGTACACAGGTCATGGCGCCGTCTTACATGGATGTACTGTTGAAGATGAGGCTTTTGTTGGGATGGGTGCGACATTACTCGATGGAGTTTTTGTTGAGAAAAACGCAATGGTGGCTGCTGGATCACTTGTGAGGCAGAATACAAGGATTCCCTTTGGAGAGGTTTGTTGCTGTTGTTGACTTTAGATTTTCCAGAAGAAAGCCTGTAGTTCAACTTCAAATTTGCTAGATGAACTTGGAACACTTATACTGCCTCCATGGCTCCATCCCATGAATCTTGTGGCGTTTGACTTGGCTTATCTTTTTAAGAAAAATGTTTAATTGTTCGTCAAATACCAACAAAATACTCTTTGAAAAGGACAGAACAAATCAGGTCGACCCAAATCAATTACATCACATTACTTCTTTTTTTTTTTGATAAAGGGGACAATACCCCCAGAATCTTTTTAGGGTTTATATGCTTATAAGAGTTTATTCGAGTATAATAGGTATGGGGAGGCAATCCAGCCAAGTTCTTGAGGAAGCTGACAGAAGAAGAAATAGCCTTCATCTCCCAATCAGCACTTAACTACACCAACTTGGCTGCGGTTCACGCAGCTGAAAATGCAAAGGGCTTCATGGAGATCGAGTTAGAGAAGATGCTGCGCAAAAAATTTGCACGCAAAGATGAAGAATATGATTCAATGATCGGTGTGGTTCGCGAAACACCCGTGGAACTAACTCTACCCGATAATATCTTTCCACATAAAGCACAAAAAGCAGCTTCTTAGATCCTTTCCGAGATAGTTTTTCCAGGATTTGACGAAATGTTCTGTTTCTCTACATGTCGGGTGACTTGTGCTCAAATCGAGGAACCACTACAGGATGCAGATGCTTATTTCTAGAAATAAACTTTTGATGCCAGGCTCAAAATGTGAAAGATCTTTAATCCCTTTTTCTGAATTCTTACAGTAGATTTAAAGAGAGATTTATTGGTACAATGAAATATAAATGTTTTTGATAGAATGAAGATCAAACATGAATATGGTCATCTGTCTTATGGTCCTTGATTGTGGAATATGGAAGCAATCCTTTATCTCTGCAGCTATCAATGGCTCCCTTAAACATCTCCTCCAGATCATACTTAAACTCGAAACCCATCTCTTTTAACTTCTTCGATGAAAACGAAACTATCGGTGGCTCCTTATCAATCCCTGGAAACCTACCAAAATCATATAAAATCATCATCATATAAAAAGCAACAAAAAGATGAAAAAAAGAAAGCACCAAGTTCAGATTCTTACTGATCTGGAACATGGTACTCTGGCCACTTTTCTTTGATCACTCTTGCCAATTGATGAATGGTGGCATCATGGGAAGAACAAATGTATCTCCCTCTGGCTTTAGGGTTCTCATATAAGTATATATGACATTCACAAAGATCATCCAAATGTACATATTGACCTTGCTTTATAATTGAATAATGTGATTCTGCACCTGTTTTGATGTACAAAAACGTTTGTTAGAAATTTGAAAATGCATGATATTTAGGGGGTGTTTGGTCCATAGAATGGAATTTGAGGGAATTGGAATCCATCAAAGGAATTTGACTTTAAAGGAATTAGAATGAAATCTCTCAAAAGAATTGAAACATTCGTCTTTGTTTGGACTATCGCAACCATCGCCCCGTCCATACCCTACCAACCACCATGTTACTACTGCCGTTGTCACAGCTAACACCCTGCCTCACTCCTATGCGAACCTTTCCCCACCCTCCCAACCCTTACCCCCACCACTCCTGTCCCATCCCTGCTCCATAGGTCAGGGTTGTTGGGGGCAGGCAGTGTTGTAGAATGGTGGTTAGTGTTGGGTTGGAGTAGGGTAAGGTGGGGCCGGGGTGGGGGCGGGACGGGACGACGGGGTGGGTAGGATAAGTGGCGGGGTGGTAGCTGTGACGATGATAGTGGTGGGATAGTGGTCGGGTGGCTGGGAGTGGATAGGTATGATGACAACAATAGTGGCATGGTGTTTAGTGGTGGGTTAGGGTAGGGTGGGGTGCAGGTGAGTGGCGGTTGTGAAGGCGACAATAGTGGTGTGGGGGTGGGGGGGGGGGGTTAGGTTAGGGGCACGACGGCGGGGCGGTGGAGATGGGTGGCAAGGTGGTAGCTGTCACGACAACAGTGGTGGGATGGTGGTCGAGTGGCTGGGAGTGGGTGGATATGACAGCGACAGTAGTGTCATGGTGGTTAGTGGTGGGTTAAGGTAAGGTAAGGTAGGGTAGGGTAGGGTGGGGGTGGGGGTGAGTAACAGTTGTAATGACGACAATAATGGTTTGGTGGTGGGGGTTAGGTTAGGGGCGTGACATTAACGGTAGTAGCATGGTCATAGTAGGGATGTGCAGTGAGTGATCGGGGGTGGGTGGGTGTGATGACAACAGTAGTAACATGGTGGTTAATGGTTGGGTAAGGGTGGGTGGCGGCGACAATAGTGGAGTAATGGTGGTGGGGGGTTTGGGATGGGGCATAACGAACAATAGTAACATGGTCGTGGTGAATGGTGATGTAATTCAATTCTTTCCATTATGCCAATGAATGATAAATTCATTAATTTGTGGAATTCAATAGAATTTGAAAGATTCTATCCATTTTAAGAAATGAATCAAACAAAGGAATTGAAATTTGGTCAAAAAAATTTGTCATTCCAAATTCCTTCGAATTCCGCGAACCAAACGGCCGCTTTGTGCTTTGGGGCATGCTATATACCGTTGATCAACGAAAGTGCGGTAATGAGGCTTGGTGGGAATGAAGGAGTGATGAATGGACCAACGACTAGCGTTGGTATGATGCTGATGAAATCGATGTTGTTTTCTTTTGTTGCTTCCCAAGCTGCTTTTTCTGCCAATGTTTTCGACACAAAATACATCTGCTTTGCGTACAGAATGGTCGATGATTAACCAATAGATTATACGAACAAATAAAAACACGTGACAACAAAATCAGCTTCATAGGATACTTTCATAATAGAATGCTTTATATAACTTAAGTTTATATGACTAAATAATTGTATATCTTATATCAAGAGTGTTACAATAAGTTGATATGATTATTTTAGGTTGCTTTTGAAATAAATTGTTCTATTGACTTATTTATGTGACACTTTTATATCATATGAATATTTCCTTTTATAGGATAATTGTTTTTATAAGACATTTTTTCAAATAATATCTTATAAAAAGACTTATTTGGACGTTTTATTTTAAAAATGTTCTTAAAAACTTGTTAGGACGTCCAAAAGTGTCATGTCGACTGTAACACCTTTACATACGATGCACTTTTGTTCGATGTTATAAACTCAAGTCCTACAAAGCAATCTATTAAGACATTTAGACTTATTCGACGTTCTGTAAAACCAATTTTGTTATAATGAAAGAAAGAAAATTTATAGAACGAACCCAAGCAGTCATTTTCTTTGAGTAGATGAAGTCCAAATCGCTCCAATTCGACTCGTTGTAGACAGGAAGTTGATGTTCTTGTACGTTAACAGTCCCGGCAGAGGAGGTGAACACCAGTCTCTTGACTGTTTTGGCTTTAGCACACGATCTTATGATGCTTAATACCCCTTCTATTGTTGGCTTAATGATTTCATTCTGCAATATAAGTATCCGAAAATACGGTCATTAATTTCCGATACATACAAATACAATAATATATATATATATATATATACCTCAGGGTCCTTGGATTCAAAGTCCATAGGAGTGGCCACATGAAAGACCCCATGACAACCTTCAACAGCTTCATCAAAACTTCCTTCCTGTGTCAAATCTGCCTTCCATAATGTCAAGTTTGTTTCTGCTTTGGGTAGTTGTATTAAATGCTTCACTTTCTTCATGTTCTCTATCCAATCATTTGGTTTATTGGTTCAAGATTCAATGTTAATAGAATACAAAATTAATATTAAATCATGTGTAAAGTCAAACAGTATAATAATAAAAATAAAAAAGTGGATATACCAGGGTCACGAACAGTAGCACGGACAACGTAGCCGCGTTCGAGGAGTCTCATAACGAGCCACGAGCCAATGAATCCAGCGGCTCCGGTGACGCACACGGTGGTCGGAGAATCCTGTGTCATGTTGTTGTTTTTTTGGGTTTAATGATGAATTAATTAGTATGAGGATTTGGATGTGTTTTTATAGATGAGTTGGTAGATAAAAAGCACGTGCGGAATCCACCATTCAACTCCAAAAGTATTAGAAGTAGATGATGGAGAATGGTGGGGGGTGAGAAAGGATGGTTTGCATACGTTTGACCGTTTGTTCGGGTATCCAGATATAATCACGGGTCGACTTCGGATTCTAACTCAAAGTGAACCAAACCCACAAATCGAACAATGGAGCTTATATTGTGAAAACAACAAATTATGAGTTCTTATTTAAATTTCTTTTCTTTGAATTATTTATGTGGTTTTGGTCATTTTGAAGTTTATAAGACATAAATAGAAACTGATGTAATTTATAGTAGCATATTGAGACTTAGTGGTTGTTTATCATTTGCTTACGTGGTAAGTGCTTTATCAGGCCACTTATTACCCTTCTCTGACCCTTATTGCTCAACCTGACAGTGGACAGCTAATGCGTGCACGTTATCGGATGAACATGGTAAAGACTAACAATCTTATCTGGTAAAAACAATGGCAAGAATTGAGAGTCTTACCTGGTAAGTAAGACTGATGACACTTGATTGGTTCTTACCGAGTAAATTGTCGCATAAAGTAAGTAAGAGTGTTGATTCTTACCAAAAATCAACTCCTAGTGCTATTCGTTGCTCTTGGGCCGGCTGTTGGGTTACTGCGTGTCGGACCGCCACAATCGACGTGGTCGTAGCCTTTGGGTCAGATCATGCGAATAGAATCTTAACCGATAAAGTAAGTAAGAGTGTTGATTCTTACCAAAAATCAACTCCTAGTGCTATTCGTTGCTCTTGGGCCGGCTGTTGGGTTACTGCGTGTCGGACCGCCACGATCGACGTGGTCGTAGCCTTTGGGTCAGATCATGCGAATCAAGCTGGTATTTTAGTATGGGCCGCATCATTTGGACCATTGAGTTGGGCCGAATTAAGTCACACCACAATCCACATTGACCACAAGTCCACAACACATGGTTGGATTGGTTTTGTAGGATTTTGACTTCTTAAATTATTTAACAAATTAATCTTCCCCTTATGTGTTATTTAAATTTTAATCTTTTATTAATTGTTTTAAGACATTATATTTACATAAAAAATTAAGAATTTACAAATGGAAATATAAATTTACTTGCAACAATATACCCGGTAAGCGCTTAACGTAGTAAGAGTCGTTGTCCTCACTTACCGGGTAAGACTCTTGGTCCTTGTCTCGCTCTTACCGTGTAAGATTCTTGATCCTTATTATGATCATCCGGTAAGGTAATGTGACTTAGTAAGCGCTTACCCAGGTAAACGGCCCTTAAGTCTCATGTTCTCGTTTGAGCTTCAATTGAGTTATAAATTTCTAACTGCTCTATGAATTATTTATATGGTTTTACTCGCTTTTAATTCCTAAAATAGTAGTATCTAGTGTTTTCATTTGAAGTTGCATATTGAAGCTTAGTTTTTGAGTTTTAGTCGTTAATAATGACATAATTGAAACACTAACTTTAAACGTGTTAAATTGGAAGTATCTTCTTCAAGTTTTCTACTTATTTTAGTATCAAAATGTCAAATTTTTGCATGAATGCATCATCTCATGAATAGCTCTTTGAAAGAAGTTAGAAAATTGACCAAACATATCAAAATTTAAACGTTGTTGTTAAAAAAGAAACAAGGCGAGTTGTCAGTTGTGGGTTAAAATGGATCAAACCAAGATGGATCCCAAGATCCGCATGTTCATGGCCTTCGTATTAGCATGCGGCTAGCCATATTGCTCGAGCTACAAGAGTTGGGGCCGAATTAAATTAAACTACAATTTATGAGTTTTTGATTTATGAATTAATTTTAACAAATTAATTCAAGCCAAGTGAGTTATTTAATTTTTAAGCTTTTATTAATTGTTCGATTACACATTATATTTGGTAAAAAATCTTAAAAGAACTTATTAGGCATCAAATATCGTCTAACAATACAAATATTTTAAAATTATAGGTTACAAGTTATTATAATCTACGTATGAGTTTCTAAAACTCCATAAAAAATAATCGACAACCAAAACATCACCTCTCAAATCTTACACCATTTTCAGAACTTGGAAGCTTTCTCCTCTCTCCTAAAGCTCTCAAAAACCCATCTGTTACTCTTTGAAGTGCCCGATTCTAAAACATTTATGGAAGATGATGGCAACAATGGTGGAGGAGATGGACCTAAACATATTGTAAACCCTACAAGGTGGTGGCTTTTGGAAGAAGCGCTTATTGGTGGAGGTAGAAGATAACAGAGTTATGATTCTTGCACTTGTTGCTATTTCTTTTTTCCAAAATCAGTCAAAAGTGTTTCTTTGGTGATTGTATGGGTAAATTAGGGAAAGTTCATCTCTATCTAGGGATAGATACACCTCCAGCTCTGTCTCTAGTCAGAGCTTTAAATTATTTCAGTAAATACTTTGCTTCTTATTGGGGTAAGATGTGATAAGAGGCTAGTAAACAGCTCCTAAATCATTTACAACTTATTATGTCACATACAATTTTTTAAAATGTCACGTTTGAACTCCATAAAATTAAATGATACACATATTTAATTATAAGATAAGAACAAACTCTTATCATGCTCAATAAAACCGATAACCAATCAAATACCCTTTCATCCTCGTAACATTAAAAAAACAGTAAGGAATAAAAGAATAAAACAAAGCTTCTTTTATTTATTTTATTTTATTTTATATTTATCTTTTATTATAGGGGGTGTATGTGAAAATTGGAAGTTTGAATGATGAAAAAGTCAAGAAAAGTAGCCCATAATTATAAAATTTAGTTTGAATTGTCAAAGTAGTTGACTTTAATCTTGATTCTTTTTTCCAGATATTTTAGTGCCAACACCTTTTCTCACTGCCTTCTTTAACATTTTGTCGGTAATTCTTTTATTTATATCTTACTTTTAGGAATTATAGTTACATTTTTATAAGAATAAAAATGATAAAATGTTGTATTTTTTTATATAAAATAATATAACAAACTACATTTATTAAGTAAAGCTATGGATTTGATCCGTGGGGTTCTTTGTTTTGTTGGTTTTGCTCCTTACTATTTGTTTATTGTAAAGAAAGAAATTTGTGGTGTGCACTTCTTGTTTAAGTCTTCGCCTTTTCCAATCACCCTGTTTTATTCTTTCTATTTAATTCGTTCATCTGTTTTATACTTGAGGATAAAATGATGCCTTTATGTTGTTCCCTTCGTTTTAGCCGCCGTTCTTTCTTACTTTATCTCTTTTCTCTGTTCGCTTGTATTTTTACACAACTAATCTCATATATGATTTTTCATCATATTCTTTCATAATAAATTTAAAATACAAATCCTTACAACATTAAATTTAAAAAAAAAAAAGTTTGTCCTAAATCAAACAAAAAGTTGTATGTGAGACATTTTGGTTTGTTTTTAAAATTGACTTATCTGGTTTCTAACATAAGTATGAGATAGAAACTTGTATTTTCATTAATGACCAAAAGAGACTCTACAACTTATTTATAAGATGTTAAGATGAGAAAAGTAGCTACCAACAAACTTTACAAAAACCACAAAGGTTGTGGCGTAGTGGTTGAGGTTCTAAGAAATGAGGTGAAATATCTCATTTGATCAGGGTTGGATTTCAAGCATATACAACAATTGTGGTCACTGTGTTTATCAAAGCTGATTTCTTCCGGTCATAATATGCGAAGATTAGTCCAAGCATAGACTGCGACACCCTTAAAAAAAACAAACTTTACAAAACCAATTTAACAAAGTAAACAACTTAAAAGCTGACAGACGATGGTTTGTTTCTTCGATTTCCAAGATATCAACGAGTCTTCGAGAAAAGCACAAAAACCTGTGATAGAACGTCGACTGTCCACACAATCATCCGAGTCGGAATCACATAATACTCGCACCTGTAAAGTAGAAGCTGCAGACATAAATACAGTTTGACCCTACAGTCCTACTTGTTCTTGAGATATTTGACCGCCGCAAAAAAGTGAGCATACCGAGGATAAGCCATGTATTCAACAAGTTTATGCACGACAAACGATATGTCTGAGCATGTGATTGTAAGATACGTAAGACATCTATAGAGAGAAGGATCATCGAGAGGGTCACCATCTGTAGATGACAAGTTAACATTCATGGGCTCACGGGAGTAGTTGTTGGTTTAGCGACTAAAAACCCGGTTTCTTCACAAGTTGCAAGGGCGTAGTTTCTTTGCGAGATGAAAATATCGACAGTTGAGCAAGTAATTTCAAGTCCAAGTAAATATTTCAAAGGACCTAAATCCTTTAGCTTGAAAGCATTATTTAGGAGCCGTTTATCAAACACTTACCCGGTAAGTGCTTACCGATAAAATTTAACACTACCACTTACTTACCGGATAAGACTTTAGTCCACCGAAACTTTACCGTATGCAACAATTTACTCAGTAAGCGCTTACCATGGTAAGATTCGTCATCCTCACTTGTCAGGTAAGATTCTTGGTCCTTACCATATTCATCCAGTAAGGTAATATGACTTGATAAGATCTTACTCGGGTAAATGTTTGGTAAACGGCACTTGGTTTTGTTTAACTTGAGAAACAATAGAGGATGATGGTCCTGATATGATTATGTCATCGATATAAACAGGAATGACCACATAATTTCTCCCTTCGCCTTTAAACAACATTGAATGGTCAGACTTGGCAACTCCTCCCCCCTTTCCTCTTTCTTTAACCACCTGAGCCGAAGACCCACAAACCTGAATTTCCTCTAGTCCTATGTTCTTCCTTCCATCTTCAATGTCACATTCGTATATAAACTCGTACAAAAATACCAAAATAGCACTCAACCGATGACACCACTACAATGATGCTAGGACTAAGAACCATTTTCAAACCAAAATACATACCACGATGAATATTATTTACATTTTTTAAAGTTTAGGGATCACTTTCGGGTTTTTCGCCATCTCTAGGGACCAAAAAACAGAGTTTACTAATTAATCTATATATATCTATATAAAGCAAAATCTTTGAAAGATGGAAGACATCTCCAAATCATGATATTGCATCCTTATTTATTTCTTAATTTATGTTTTTTTTTCTTTTCTTTCTTCGGAACCATTTTTTTAATTTATTTATTACCTACTAATTGTCTTAATTTATTAATTATCCATTAATTGTCTTAATTTATTAATTAAGACATTAATTTTCTTCACTTATTGGTACCGTTTATGTCAGTTTCATTTTTTGTCCATAAACCAATTGTCTTAATTTATTAATCATCCATTAGTTGTATTAATTTATTAATTAAGACAAGACGTTAAATGTTTTAACTTATTATTAACCTGCTACATACAATTATCTTCTTTATCGTCGTCTTTTCTTCTCCGAACACATGATTTAGCTTCGTCTATAACCTAATTCATTGTCAAGATTCATGTGAGAAATCATATATAAAGGAACCATGTAAGGGTTGTGGCCTCTTCTCAAAGCTAGAAAGTTCTTTATTTTTTTTCCTCATTTTTCTCAAGCTTCTCTCACTTCAATATTTATTTTTGATTTTTGATATTCACATTTAAGATTCTTTAATTAGGTTACTTCAACCTATTCATGTTCTCTCTAATAAATGCTCTTTTAATTTTCATTATTTCTCTCTATTCGATTATAATTTTTGATCTTTTCTTCATGGTACACCTCTATGATAATCTCTCAATTCTTCCTCTCTATTCAATTATAATTTTGTGGAGACGATTTGCATTTCTGTTGATTTGAGGCGTCATTCAATAAAACAAATCATAGTATGAGTTTTTTTACTTATGTAATTTCATCTTTTAGTCGGAGACATTCACACTAAAGTTGGAATTATGTATGCATATGAAATATTTTTTGTGTGTAGACAAACAAATATGAATCATTTGATGAAATAAAGTAACATTTTTTAAGCATAATAATCTCCCTTAATTTCTCAATTCCTCCTCTCTATTCAGTTTCTGTGGAGATGATTTGCATTTTGTTGATTTGAGACGTCATTCAAGCAGACAAATATAATATGCGTTTTTGTTGATGTAAGTATAGTATCTCGTCTTTTAATTGGAGACATTCACACTAAAAATGGAGTTATGCAAGCATATGAATCATTTTTTTATGTGTGGATAAAGTAACATATGAATCATTGATGAAATAAAATAACATTTTTTAAGCATATGTAGAACATAAAAAAATAAGTATCTTTTGGTTTGTTTATCCATGAACTTGATAAAAGTTATATTTTAATATTTATGCATTGATGCTAGAAGAGTGTATCAAGAAAGATGGGTTATGATTTTTTTAGATGGGTAATCTTTTATATGGTTTTCAAGATATTGATATTGATCGGTCTATTGCGATTTTTCCTTCTTTAGCATTGAGCTTGAAAATTATTTTCTAATATTTTAATTTTTAATCTTACTCTCTATTATTTTTGTAAGGAGTGTATTATGAATGGAAAGGGAAATATTCACTTATATATATTTGATAAGGATGTTAGTTTTTCCGTTATCTACAAGTAGATGAACAACATTGTACATACCGGTAGATCATGTAAATGATATCAATTTAACTTAGTTCGCCTAAAAGAATGCGTCTCATCAATACTTATAGTTTGAGATCATTTTATTATAACATATAAAATATTTTTTTTATCAACATTTGCTCATTTTTTTGAGTTTTTTTACCTAGCAAAAAGTTGCAACGAAAAAAGTAGTGAAATAATGTCAGACAACAACCTGTAAGTAGTTTCATAAACCCACTTTGAGCTCATACAACAATAAAACCTAAGAAGTCAATTCTATTTGATGGATGCATGGTACCTCCTTCTATGCCGAATAGATATCAAACTATTTTTTAATCTAAACATATATAAAATTTATCTTTTAATCTTTTTAATCAATCATGTCTACAACGGGCATTAAGGTAGAGAATGAGTATGTAATTTACACTCAATTATCACCAACTACTATTGGAACCATATTTCCACTGACAACCAACAAGAGTCAAAACTTTTGATGGCTTACACCTCCTAAAACATGTATTTACATGTATGTCATTACATTTATTAACATTTCACAATATCCTATAACTACTTATGAATACATATTACACGTATCTCTCCACACATAATAGTCGCATATTGTTGACTTTTGGGTCACGCTTGCTTGAACTACTAACCATATAATTAATGCTGATAAACATATTCATCATCAATCAAACTAACAATGCATAAATTATTCACGCTCTCATCGTTATTATTACTCATTTTATTTAATTTTACAATTTTATTTCTAAACAAATCTCTCTCTCTCTCTCTCTATATATATATATATATTATAATTTCACTAACTAGATTTTATCACTTTTCGAATTATTTTAATATTATTTGTTTATGATTCTATTAACAACTAACATATATTTATATAGACAATATTCAAATCATTAATCAAAATACTAATGCTATGCAGTTCCTACATTAGTTAAGTAAATTAGATAATAAACTTGTGGTTGAACTAAAATGAATCGATTTTTAACCATAACTCTTATAATTAATATTTTTGTAAAGTAAAAGAAAATTGAAAAGTGAAAAAAAATATGAAAGCATGTGATATAACAAAAAGTTACAGTGGTAACACATTTGTAACATGTTTGACATTTTTCACATTTTAATAAATATCTTCGTAAAATCAATCATTATTTTAATATATAAAAAAGATTTATTTTTTGATGAGATCACCGCCTACCATCGAAGACCACTCCGAGTGGGTTTGAAAATAATATGTGGACGCCTATAATATATAAATCCTTCAATCTTCCAAGCCTTCATCGTTCAAACTCAATCCCCCTGTATCTACCTACAATTCCGACGCCATGTTTAGAGCACTAAGCACAAGGAAAGGTCGCCGAGAAGGATACGACCAATTGATCAGCGAATCCACCAAAGACGATCTCTTGTCCGACCCTAAGATGTTCAGATCCACCACGTTGCCTGCCAATTTCTACGGCGATTCGCCGGTGAAGCTTGTTTGGGAACCAAAAATTCCGGTGAAGGTAGATGTGATAGAAAAGCAAGTGAAGAAGGTGAGCAAGGTTCATCCGTTGTTCAGCTTATTCGAGAGGAAGAGCCGAAAGAAGAAGGCAACGGCTAAACCAGAGTTCTCAAGGTACATGCAGTATCTCAAGGAAGGAGGTTTTTGGGATGCTGATTCATCTAAGCCTGTTATCTACTAACAGATTTATTTCAATCAAATAATAAACCCCTCGAAATCAGAAGATGACTGGATGGATGCCTAACATTGTAATTAAAGTTGTTGCAATCTATATATCCTTATACACCAATTTTTCCATTGAATTTTATACATCTTAATTAGGGCTTGTGAATACACGGTGTACCATTGGAATAGACCATTCCTATACAGTATCATATATCTATTCTTACACATCAAATCGATCTACATATGCAAATCGGATTTTTTTCTACTCAGTTGCAATTACTTGGAAAATTTCTGTTTGGATCTAGGGATGTTTTCTTCTAGATCATTTCCTAAACTATAGAGATTGTTGTATACATGTCTAGTTAATTTTTCTTGACGAATCCAGAAAAATTAATGCACTTGCTATAATCGATCACAGTCATTTGGATAAACTATTTAACAGATGATGTGAGAAAGGTTCTATGATTAAGGGGTGTTTGGGTTTGTTTATAAAAACAACTTATTGATTTATTCCGGTGTGACACAAGTAATAAGCACTTTTGAGTGTTTCGATAAACAACTTATATCGGTATCAAACCGGTAATAAGAAGTTTTTAAAGAAGTTAAACATTTCTGACTTATAATAAGTTAAACAATGCTTTTATAGAACAACATAAGTTGTTTCAAATAAGCAATCTTAAACGTCCTCTTAATTGGATTTATTAAACTGATTTTTTGAGATGGGGGTCGGTGCGGATTTATGGTCTTTTAAATGAAAGAAATACAACATTAAAGTAGAAGAAATTAGCAAACTTTAGAGGCCCCTACAAAATGAAAACATATTTTCAACTGAAAATTTAATTACAGGAAATGTGACCGTTATGAAAAGATTGGCTTTTTTGTAAGAGAAAATGAAATAACAAGTTCTATTCAACTTTATCAATGTGTGACTATAAGATTGTGTGAAATTAACAAAGTCAACATCTTTTTTATAGGCAAGAAGATATTTTTTTATAGTATCATACGTAGCCTGTTTTTGATCAATAAAATCAAATATAAGTTCGACTCTCTTTTAATTTTTATTTTTTTTCTTATATTTATCTGGGTCGTAGTGACCAAGCTTGGACAACTGTTTATTAAAAATATAGATTTGTACAAAGTCGTAAAACCGTGTATTAGATATAAAAAGTAGGAGTTTTGTCATTTTGAAGGTTTTAAATGATTCTTAATTAAGAGTATGATGGATCTTTGTTTTTGTTTTTATCGTTAATTATAGGAAGCCTTTCGGTCAATTGAATTTAAAAAGTAGTATGATTATGTTGCATATTAGTTTATTTCTCTGGTTATAGAAAAAGATATTAAATTAACTTTTTTTAAGATAAAATCAATAATTATAATTATAAATATAAAAAGAAAAAGTTTGTTTTTTAGCATATGCGAAAAGATTCGTATAACCAAGGCTCTAAATGACGTGAGGTATGACGTTGCGTTGTAGCAAGATCAAATCTCAAATCTTGCGATTTAAGTGAATCCATGACGTTTTTCAAAGCGTGCCCTAAGTAAACATATATATACATATACGCCCATGCTTGTGTGTATTAGTATTTTGAATACAACTATAAAACAATGAAAATTAATATAAAATAATAAAACTAAAAGAGAAAAAAGAACCGTGGATATCAAATATAAAGCTCATAAAAAATGATATCAAGAGTGCAAATCGGGATTAGATCTCTTAAATATTTACTCACTACTTTATTCAATTTTCAAAAAGCTCTTGTTCGACTTTTCATGTACAGGAATTTGAGAAAGTATTAAGTTTTTAGTTTTCTTTTTATGTTTATTTAAGTTATATAAACACCAAAATAACATGTCGTAATGTGTTACAAATCTCGTTCATAATTATCATCTATCCCTCAAGTTATATATTGAATTAACACCACATCTTACAAAATAACGTGTCGTAACGTGTTACAATGTAAGCCAAACTTTAGAGTGGAGCGATAGGGGTTAACGAGGCAACGAACCCAAACCTCGATGTCGTGACGTGCCATAACGAGTTATTTAGAATCATGGTATATACATTTAGACAAAAGATCGTGTGAGAATTGAAGTTAAGGTGAGAAGCGTGAGAACAAAACATTATATACATTAATATACCTTTAACTATATTTGTGTACCTATTTTCATCATCATGACCGAAACTTTAACAAATTCAAAAATGTTAAAATGATTAAATGTGTGAAAGTGACTTAGAAGTGAAGATAAAGACAATTGAAGGTCATTTAGACATTGTTTGGCAAACATAACCTAGCTTATAAGATGCCTTATTTTTTCCAGCAATCGTTTGGATGCAAATAAACTAGTTTATAAGTTAGTTCATTGATAAGCTACTTAAAGTAGCTTATGAGGAGTTTCTTAACATTTTTTTTAATTATAACCTTGATTAAGATTAATTACTAATAATAATTATAAATAACTATTAATTATTAATAAGTATTAACTACTAATTATAAATATTAATTATTCAAAATATTAATTTATAGTAAGTAAATTTATTAGTTAATTTTAATTATACATTATTAATTAATTTTAATTATACAATAGAAATTAATAATAATTTTAATTATTTATAAATGTATTAATTATATCAATTATTCCTTTAATTGTTATTCAATATATTCAAATATCAAAAAGCAAATATAATAATTTAAAAATGTTTATATAAGTTATATAAAAAATTACAGTTATACTTATTTTATTTCAAAGATAATTAAAATATGCTAAATGCTTTCAATAAAATATTTAATTTAATTATTAATTATATTTTTAAGAAAAGATTAACTAATTAATATATGCGAGGTTGTCAAATTTTATTGTTATTCATATTATACTATAAGGGTACTCGTGCAATGCAGCGAGATACATCTCGATTTTAATATTTTTGTTTTATTCATTGTCTCTGTCGATATAATACGTTTTTATGCAGTTTTGAGAAACGATAATGTTTTCATTTTTGAATAAAATATAAATTTGAAATATATATATCGATATTAGTATCAAATTAATTATTTAAAATTTTTTAAAAAAATATTGATATCAGTACCATACTAACTATTTAATTTCTCGTTTTTCTGTATATTTCTTTAATTCATTTTTTTTATTTTTTGTTTAATAATATTATTTTTTATAAAGATAATATTTAAGTATTTTGTTAGATTTCAATGATTATCCTAATTATATTTTTGATTTTTTATATTTTTTATATTTAAAATGAGATGTTTATTTTTTATTTGATTATGTTTATCTGCAGTTAGTTACACAAATTCAAACATTAAGCTTTAGTAAGTTGTACTTACGCTCAATTTACTTGTAGTCTTGGATTTTAAGTAATATGCATCAATAAACAGTACTTCATGCATACAAAATAGTTTTTAAGTGTTTTTCTCGAATGCTTTATAATATAGTATAGATGTGATAACTATTTAAAATCATAAATTAATATAATTTTTTCTATAATTTGTTTTAACAAATTCAAAATTTATATTAAATATAATAATTAATTTAAATTCTTTCAGTTAATATATTATATTATTTAATTTCTTGTCTGTATTAATCATCACATTATATTATTAGAAATCTATTTGAATTATATTATGAAATATTTGTAATTGACTATTTTTTCAAGATATTCTTTTTGGTCATTTTATATGCTTATAAGTTAGTTTTTGTCAAACATAATTGATCAAAAAGTTTAGAATTACTCTCACCGTTCTAAACACAACCTTTATTCTCACACAATCAATCATTTACCAAAACTCTTTAGCATTACTCTCACCGTTACACACTAGTTTTCTTCGTATTAAATAAAAAACATATGAAAGCATGGTCATATATTTTGTTTCAGTTTCATTTAAATATTTAAAGGAACCATTACAAGTTATCGGTTGCTTGGGAGACCAATTAAACATATCATACAAAATATATTTAAATCTAGCAATTTGCTTACATGTTAACAAATATATATCATATGGGAGACCAAATATTATATCATATGAATTTATAATGAAGACCTCATAGTTTAAGAAAGTTGACCATCAAAGCCTCTTTCTACGAAAGTCACTCGCTGCCTACCACACAAGACCATCTCCACAAAATCCCAATGCCTTTCAAAACTACTTGGAAGCCTATAAAACCTTCAATCTTCCACGCATTTATTATTCAAACTCAACCCACACATCATATCATCTATCTACGTTCAATTTCATTCAGGAGTCATGTTTAGAGCACTCAGCACCAGAAAAGGTCTTCGAGGAGGATATGCCCAATTGATCAGCGAATGCGAGTCCACCGTCGACCATTTCGTATCATCCGATGCTAAGATGATCAGATCCACCACTTTGCCTGCCAATTTCTACGGTGATTCGCCGGTGAAGCTTGTGTGGCAACCCAAAATTCCGGTGAAGGTAGATGTGATAGAAAAGCAAGTGAAGAAGGTGAGCAAGGTTCATCCATTGTTCAGCTTATTYGAGAGGAGGAGCCGGAAGAAGAAGGCGACGGCTAAACCAGAGTTCTCAAGGTATATGCAATACCTGAAGGAAGGAGGATTTTGGGATTCCAATTCATCTAAACCGGTTATCTACTAATAACCCATTTATTTGAATTGAAGTCGGAAGATCGAGAATCAGTATTATTATAACACCAATTTTTCCATTGAATTTTATACATATTAGGGCTTGCATACACATGGTATACTTTTGGGATAGGTCATTTCTGTACAATATCATTCTGAAATAATCATAAGAAGGTTCCATAACTTGGATTAATTAATCCGATTTGGTACGTTGAGTTGTGAAATAATCATCATAAAAACGTTCTTAAAACTTTTAATTTATTTAACAGGTCATGTGAAATTGAATTGCGTTTAATAATATTTGACAAACGTGCATGGAATAAAGGCCCCTACAAAAGACATGGGTTGAAAATTTGGTTACATGAAATGTGACTATTGGAGTGCTAAAAGAAAATGAATAGAGGAATACTTTAAAAAAAAAAATTAAACGATGACACTATTTAACTATAAGAAAAAAAATCTATAGAATTATTTTTATAAAATTATTATAGATGTGTTGGCTGGTTACTTGTCTTTGCACAAAAAAAACTTGTGTTGAATTATGTCCTCGAGTTTAAAAAAAAAAATAAAGTATATAAAAAATATGAAATTAAGCTAAAAAGTAAGAAATTTGATAAAAACATACTCAAAACCAAGCCTTTTTGTACAAAATCCAACAACATTAACCAATGCTACCATTAGAAACTTGCGTCATTAGTTTAGTTTTATAGAAATAAAGAACACCTTATAAGAAGAAATGGTGAGTCGGTGACACTATCAAGAAACGTAAGTTTTTTCAATCACGACCAAATTGTGAAGCGATGGCCTATGTCACTGCACTCCACTATGTAGGTTTGCCCTTGACAACAAGATATTTTTTTTACTGTATCACGCAAGTGTTTTCGATTTTGATCAATCAAATCAAATATAAAGATTTATGTGTCAGATAGGTTGTTTACAGGGTAGAAATTTTGCTATTTTGAAGGTTTTAGATGGACCATTTTTCTAGGAGCGTTATCTTGTACATGAACCACTATATTCCCACTATATTTATTGTTATACCATTGTGAAAACCACTATAGCAAATCATGAGTATCATTCAAGTTTATAATGGTGATAAGTACTTAGTGGACATTACAAATAGTATCAGAAATCAGAATGACCATCTTTAGAATTATTGTAGATTTAACCAATAGATTCATTTTTTAGGGATAATAAATATGATATTCTACTTAATTCTTCGTATATGTCTGATAAGGATGTCAAAAAATTTAATTGATAACATCCTTCACATACACTATTGGTACGAATTGTGAGCCATTTTACAAGTGCAAGAGATTATGGAGCCAATTTATTGTTTTGGATTTGGATTGTTATGATATGGACAGGTTGATCCAAATTTTTTCCGAACAATAGCATAAAATCATTAGCATCCTATGAAAAACAAAAGTTAATTAAAAAAGATATGTTTAATTAAAAATAACATATAAATGGTCTTTTTGTAACACCCAAGTCGTTTTTTCATTCCTTCTTTATTGTTGTCATAAAAAAAACCAAAAATGTAATGTCATATACTTGACACTACCAATAGTAGGAAATAATTTTCATCCCCGTACCCTCGTCCCAAATATTTCTTTGCTCTGGAATGAAAATTTAAGCTTACGAAAAATAAACCCATTATAGTATATCAAATCTTTTATTTTTAATATTATAAATTACTAATTAATACCTCTAATTAAACACATGTGTTTGCTTTGGCATGGGTGTATGGCTAGTAGGACCGGAGTTTTGAAGTCAAATAATGACTTTCTATACATATTATAAGTAACTCTTAACAATAACATGCGCATAAGAAAGTCTTCTAGATCCAAGGTGACGTCATCTTTTTAAATTTGTCACCCACAACTTAACCTTATAAAAATATAAACTATGTTCTTATTAAACAATTTTTTTATATTTGACTCACTATTAAACATAATTTTTAATAATATTTATTCATATATATATATATTAACAATTGTTTAACAAATAATTTAATAAGTATTATTTATTGCTTACTAATATGCATAATCTTTTAGATTTTAAGTTTATAAATGATTACCATGTATGTACAATTTTTTTTAACTTTTAAAACTCGATAAATTAACCAATAAATATATTGTTTAAATACTATATAATTATTGAATCATAACATAAGGTTTCATTATTATTTTTGTCCAAAAAAACACTTAATCATTAAAATTAAAACAAATTATATCTTTATTTTAAATCTAAACTTTTTAAATTATAATATAATTTAGAATTAAATAAATTAAACCAATAACGAAAAAATTAATCTTTAATTTGACAAAATTACACAAACATGGATATTTTTTGGGTTTTCCACAGGTTTCAAATGTTCAACCATTATATATAGATTTTTTACTTTTTTTAAATACAAATTTTGAATTTTACATATATATATATATATATATATAATATATTGTTTCTTTTAATAATCATGTAAAGTCATATAATTATTTTAATGAGGTAAATGAATAAAAGATAAGTTAAATAAATCAATAACATTTATTTACGATCTTGATGGACTCGAAAGAACAAAGTTTTTTTTTTCTTTTAACCTGGGGTTGGATATCTAATTCGTTATACGAGTCGATTAATTCCAGAGCCAGGACGATCACCTGTTTTGTGGGTAGCCCAAGTCACCGCATTTGAACTTCTATGGTCACAAGATGATTTTTATTCCTTCTTGGATTTGAATCTAAGACCTCCAAACATTTTTGATCTTCGGAATCAAAGCTCAAACCAATTAGACACTACCCTTGCGGTTATTTTTAACTTTTTATTCCCATTTTCATAACACAAACCCAACAAGTGTATGAAAGATGCCAAAGCTAACAACTACAATGGTCATACATTTGGTTCCACTTAAATAAATGTCTTTAATTTTTACATGTTAATGAATAGATTAAATACAAGACAAAAATATTGCATCAATTTATAATTTGTTGAAGAAAAGTTGACTATATCAAACCCCCCTTTCTAGGAAAGTCATTGGGATTGAATCATTGAATTGGCCGCCTACTACACATCACCATCTCAACCAATTCCTAATGGCTTTCAAAAGCATTTCCATGCCCATAAAACCTTCAATCTTCCTACGCATTTATCATTCAAACTCAATCCACACATCTACATTAATAATTGAGGAGCCATGTTTAGAGCAATGAGCACAAGGAAAGGTCTCCGAGGAGGATACGCTCAATTGATCAACGAATCCACCGTCGACCATCTCTTATCATCAGACGATAAAATGATAAGATCCACCACTTTGCTTGCCAATTTCTATGGCGATTCACCGGTGAAGCTTGTGTGGGAACCCAAAATTCTGGTGAAGGTAGATGTGATAGAAAAGCAAGTGAAGAAGGTGAGCAAGGTTCATCCATTGTTCAGCTTATTTGAGAGGAGGAGCCGGAAGAAGAAGGCGATGGCTAAACCAGAGTTCTCAAGGTACATGCAATACCTCAAGGAAGGAGGATTTTGGGATTCCAATTCATCTAAACCGGTTATCTACTAATAACTGATTTGTTTCAATCAAAATCGGAAGATCGAGTGGGTGCATGCATATATTAACATTGTAATTAAACAATGTAACCACGTTTTTCTCATATTCCAACCAACTATAATTGGTACATAAAATGTTATATCATGCACCAATCAATTATATTTGGTACCAAGTTTTTTCGGTTGATACATATTGATATCAATTTTATACCAATTGATTGCAAAAGTTAAAATCCAAGTTATAATGTTTAAAAATCAAACAACAAAAAGGTTAAAGTTATAATGTTTAATATCAATTATATACCAATATGTGCTCATTAAGTTTTTATTTTGAAAAGCAAATATATAAAAAAGAAACAGAAATAAGACAAACAAAGAAAGAAATTTGCGAGGGTAAGATCGTCAAGCAACCAAGGCTACTGAAAAACCGAAGCTAATAAAAACGACCTAACAACAAAGGAGAGCGGCGCACGAACAGGAGACGCATCAAAACACAAAAAACATTATATCAAAAAATAGCGGCGGCCAGATAATTTTTCCAAATCTCCCACGAAATCAGAAAAGATGAGCATCTAGACGAGACCCGACCAAAGGACCTTGAAAGAATATTACCAAAGAGATCAGTGGTATAAGGACCACGCCATAGAAAACACGAGAGTTTCTATTCCACCAAAGGAAATAAATCGTATTTCATATTACTGCTTTAAAAGCACCGGGAACTTGATTGGCGCCGTTGAAATTAATCATATAGGAAGTCTGTAATTGCCATTCCACCCCTTGAAGATGTGTTCCAGAAAGGCATGCACCTGAGAGCAACCAACAAAACAATGATCAACCGATTCGGTACATTTTTTGCATATCGTGCAAAGAGTTGAGTGAAGTTCTATTCCTTTTTTGTCCAATTAATGAAACATTGGGATTCTCTTTTGCAACACTCGCCAAATAAAAATGTTTATCTTCCTTGGAATAAATTTGTTCCACCTTGTTGGGATGTCCGCATTTGACGACCAAAGAATTTCGAGGTCCAACAAGTTTATGAGAAGATAAACTTTGAACACTCCACCTTCATGCATAAACCAACAAGCAGTGCTTGGTCAACAAGATTAAAAGACATTTTGCAACACTTAGTATGGTTGGACTTTTTGTTGTGACTTAGGTCTAAGCCTAAGCTTACTAAGACCAGGTTCTTCCGCGTCAGACGATAACATTTTATACATATTTTAACCGAACTTATGAAAACCTTAAATTTATATCCAAAATTATATCATGTGTTTGAATTGGTCACACACAAGTTATATAATCTTATACAAAATGTAAACTTAAGAAACCTAAATGTCTTATTAAACATATAACCATCATTTTCAATCTTTTGTCTATTGTTTTAGATCAATGCAATGCCACCAAATACAAAATATTATAATTGTGTTTTAGTTAAAGATTTAGAGATATTTGACTAACAATTAAATATTT